CCAAAAAATTGGATCCTAAGAAATCATAACGTGCAATCATGTTTGATTGTTATATATTTCGACAAAAAATATTTTTTTACATAAATTAAAGAGAGATTTACTAAAACAACATTAAAATTAGTTTTTTGACCAAAAGAATGCTAATATTTCATAATTACTCAAACAATTTTGAAAGATTTTTTATACCCGTTTTAAGCTTAAGGAAAACAAAAAACGTATTTACGAAACTGCCATTAATGAAGCAACGAATAAGTCTACCGTTCATGTGATGATAGATTTATTTGCGATTGGTAGATTTATTAAGTGGTCGGTAGACTTATTGATGATTAGCAGTTGTAGACTTATTTATAGTAGTGGTAGATTTATAATATGTGGTAGTGGTAGAGTTAATTCTGTGATCGGTAGACTTATTTCTAGTAGTGGTAGAGTTAATTTTGTGATCGGTAGACTTATTGATGGTTCGCGCAGTCGTAGATTTATTTATAGTAGTGGTAYATTTATTTTMSASWGATAGACTTATWAGTAGTAGTGYTAGAGTTAATTTTGTGATCGGTAGACTTATTGATGGTTCGCGCAGTCGTAGATTTATTTATAGTAGTGGTAGATTTATTTTTCACTGATAGACTTATTAGTAGTAGTGGTAGAGTTAATTTTGTGATCGGTAGACTTATTGATGATTCGCGCAATTGTAGACTTACTTACAGTAGTGGTAGATTTATTTTGGAGTTTATAGACTTATTAACAGTAGTGGTAGAGTTAATTTTGTGATCGGTAGACTTATTGATGATTCGCGCAATGGTAGACTTATTTATAGTAGTAGTAGATTTATAAAATATGTAGACTTATTTGTAGTAGTGGTAGAGTTAATTTTGTGATTGGTAGACTTAGTTCTAGTGGTGGTAGAGTTAATTTTGTGATCGTTAGACTTATTGATGGTTCGCGCAATCGTAGACTTATTTARACTAGTGGTAGATTTATTTATTGTAATGGTAGATTTATTCAATCTTTTCACATCTTTACTAAACAACCTTTAGTTAGTAGACTTATTTATAGTAATGGTAGATTTATTTATAGTAGTGGTAGATTTATAATATGTGGTAGATATATTTATACTCGTGGTAGTGATAGATTTATAATATGTAGARTTATTTGTAGTAGTGGTAGATTTATAAATATGTAGTAGACTTATTTATAGTAGTAGTAGAATTATTCAATAAAGGGTAAAATCATAATTTACCGGTCGTCTTTTCCACACAACAAGTTTCTGTCAAACCCTAACAATGGCGACCAACTACCTTTTAACTCGTTTTTACTGTATTTTAACTTGTTTTCAACTGAATTTAGCCTAAAACTAGTAGATCTAACATCATATATCTCTTTTCTAACCAAAAATCAAAAGATTTCAAGTTTTTTTTTGTGATTTTCAATCCGACTTTATCTAAATTCGGCGGTACACCTCCGCCAAATGCGTCTCCGGTGCTTCCGCAGCTTCCGCGGCCGCAATTTCAAACAAATTTCTGAATTTTTTTTTTAAAATAATTAGAATGACATTTTCGTAATAAAAACTTTTTGCTAAGGTTTATATGTCTTTTATGACATTTATTAAGTTTCAACCTTGTGTAAGAGTTGTTTTAGTAATTATGCCACCTTTCAAAGTTGTTCTAGTAATTTTCCCTATTAAAAGCACGTGTTCTTCTGCGCAATGCATGAGTAATTTTCTTTAACAAAAAAAAAATGCATGATTAATTTTCTCGTTTTTATACTAGAATAAAACCCACTTTGATATGTGGATAAATACTATAATAATTAATGAAATAAATTAGTGACCAATTAAATTTTAAAATATTATATAATGTGGATCTTAAGACCAGTAAAAATAAATTTATATCATAATTCTCATGTTCTAATACATATCATGCAAATTCAAAATTATATATTATCGGAATTTAAATCATATTCTTAATAACAGAGAAAATATATATTTTAACCCATTATAAATATTTATGATTATGTGATAGAAAATAAAAACAAGTAAAATACTATATAGTTAATTCAGAAAAGAGTAAATTTTATGTTAATAACCACATAAAAACTAGAAATAATATTTTAAACCATCACATAAGTATATGATTGATAATTGTATTTTATTAATGTCATCGTTTTATTTTTCATAGAGATTTATACTCGCTAAAATTTATACAGTATTAACTTAATAGTAAATATAATATTGTTACCTTTTAACTTATATAATTTTTTAATACATACACTTGAAGAGTACCAACGACGTCATAAGTAAAAAATTTTCATTTTCTTTGTGATATTCTGTAACTCTATATTGATAAAATAAGTATTCTCATAGATTTTATTTTATTTTATTTTTGCATTGTTGTGTATATTTTTAAACTTTTAAATTGAGGTTTCGATAACCTTTATAACTTTTATTTTTCCAATTTATATACCTTCTTTTTTATCATTCATTTTTTATTTATTTTAATTGAGATTTTTATTTTATATGTATTATTTTTTGGGAAATTAGGTGGAATAGCCACAAAAAAAACTATAATCAAAATTCTAACCAATTAACCTAAATTCAATGGACAAGATTATGCCACGTATACTATTTTTGGTTAGTTTTCTAATTATTAGTTTTTTTGGTTAGTTAGCATATTAACCCTTTTTTATGGCTTATGTCATGTCTATATTTCATCTTAAACTTTGTTTCTTAATTATTAGTGATGATATTAGA